CGTTTAAAACACCTTATATGTTGACGTGGATAAAAGATAAAACTAGAATCTCCGAACCTATTAAATGAAGATTTATGTATTGCGTTTTAACACGCTTCCAAACTCCACACGAGTCGGTTAGTGAAAATGGATACATTTTTCATGTCTAGACGATTTAAATTGATTACTTCTCCATGTGTTCTAAACCCATTAATTAATTAAGCGACATTCATACTTGTTATGTGAGTTCTACAATGAATATTTAAGTTTTTCTTAGTAAAATTTTTTAATAATTATTTGAAATTGCTAATTAATGTATGAGAGTTGTCAAAATACTTACTTGGGGCATTATGATGTGTTAGTTTTTGGTTTTCTTGATATTTTAACAAGTTCGATAAGCAAACTTTGTGGGAGAGCTACCGGTTGTGGAAAACCGGCACTGTCCATTTTTTGTCTTTCGCTTTCATTGAGATCATTAAAAGTGAATTGAGAAGAAATATACAACCGCACGCATATTTTACGTCACATCACACGCTTAAATCCGTAAATGGACAATATTTACATGTCTAGACGAATGTAAATTTTCATATCTCCCATGAGTTCTAAAATCATTACGAAACTAATCAAGCAGTCTTTTAATTTTTAAAAAGGGAGTATATAATAAATATTTAAATATTTTACAGCCATTATACGATTTTTAATGAATCTTTGATTGATCAACATAAAAAGTGGTCACATTACGGAGATACGCCTCTAAACTGTCGTAAACGTGAGTATGCTAAATGTGAACAAGAACATAAACACAACATGTGTAATATTTTAATTTATTTTAATTTAATTTAAAATTTTAATTGGAAGTGATGAAATGAGATTTGATTTTTTTATATAAATTATTTTAATATAAATTTCATTTAATTGATTTGTTTAATATTCACATTTTTGTTCTTCTTTGTATTTCAGCAAGTTTCATGTAAGTAATATGACAAAATAGTTGTACAACTTATCGTAATATTTGCACGCGCCTGAAGGTATGCAAACATTTTTGAGTTTCTTTGTAACGGGGCAGTATAAATATTTCTACAACATTTGCCATATTTTGTATTACCATTATGGTAATCAAAAACGATAGTAATTCAAAATTAAACAAGTAAAGAAAGTCTTTAAGTCGGGCGGGCCGACTTAGTGATACCCTACACCACTTTGCTAATTTAGTAGAGCTCCGCATAACAATTAAAAGTTTTTATGGGAGAATTCAATCATACACGCTATGATTATAATTATAATTTAAAGTTCAAAGGACTAAATATGCCGAAGCATTTGTATCTTTTAAATTCGGACTTGTATTGCCCATTTGGTGCGAAATTAATTTGAAATCGGATAAAAATATATATGGGAACTATATCCAAATCTGAAACCGATCTCGATAAAATTTGGCAAAGATATTATTGAGCTGTATTTGATATATTTCCCTGAATATCGTTGTTACGGAGTGCACATTACGGCTGTGGGTATTGCGGATGAACAATATATATGGGAGCTATAACTATATCTGAACCGATTCGATGCACCAAATTTGGCATACTACCTTCTAGACTAAATTCGGTCGTATGTGCCAAATTCCATCCCATTTGGACAAATATTAGACGTTTGGTGCACAATAAATGGTAAATCGGACGAAGTTATATATGGGAGCTATATCCAAATCTGAACCGATCTCGATAAAATTTAGCAAAGGTATTTCTGAGCTGCATTTGATATATTTCCCCAAATATTGTTGTTACAGAGTGTATATTACGGCTGCGGAGGACAAAAATAACAAATCGGATGAACAATATATATGGGAGCTATAGCTATATTTGAACCGATTTCGATAAAAATACTTATTTTCAGGCCTAATTTGGTTGTATGTGCAAAATTCCATACTATTCGGGCTGATATTACACGTTTGGTGCACAATAAAAGGCAAATCGGACGAATATATATATATGGGAGCTATATCCAAATTTTTACCGATTATCTCCAATTTCAGTAGGGTTCGTCCTTGGGCCAAACAAATGTTGATTGCAAAATTTCATCTCAATCGGATAAAAAATGCGACCTGTATTTTGTTCACAAGAATACATGGACAGACGGACGGACTGACATGCATAAATCAACTCAGAAAGTGATTCTATGCAGATCATCAAAAGGAACTATGGGTCTATCTCGTTTCCTTTTGCCTGTTACAAACAAATGCACAAAGACATAATACCCTGACCACCTTGTGGTGTAGGGTATAAATATAGTTTAGAAGGTATCATTCCATTTGACGACAAATACAGGGAGAGATAAAAAAACTGCAACAAAGTCAAACGCCATAATTTTTACATTTTTTATTTAATTTTTACTAAAAGAAAGTAAAAAATGTCGGAAATAGCATCACATTTTAGAATAAGTTTAGATTTGTTCGAATTGGTCAACTTTGCACAAATTATGATCTTCAAACGACCAATGAAACCGTCACATGCTGCCCGAATGTTGCTCTGCGGTATTTTGGCCCATTCACGGCGAAGCGCTTGCTTGAGGCGACCGACACATTTTTAGTGCCAACCTTGCTTTCCATAATACTCCACACACACTTGTCCAACGGATTGGTATCCGGAGATTTTGGTGGCCATTTTGCGCTGGAAATGAAGCGAGGAACCTCATTTTGTAACCATTCTTGGTTGGCGCGTGCTGAGTCCTGTTGGAATGTCCAAGGTCTGCGGCCAAAATGTTTGCGTCTCCAAGGCGTTAATACACTCTCCAGAATATTTTCCCGATAATATTCGGGATTTACTCTGTTGCCACGGTCGATTAATACGAGCGGAGAACGATCATCGGCTGTTATGGCGGCCCACACCATCACAATGGCCGGCGCTTGAGTTCTGGTTTCCAACCGAAGGTGCACATTTTCAGCTGTCCCCTTTGGCAAGTAGACACGATAATTTTATTTTGTTTACAAACTGCTGGACCACAAATGTCACTTTCTTCCAAGCGAAGCAACTCTTTAGCTCTTCTGAGTCTACTTTCTTTCTGTTGCGGTGTAAGTTCTTGCACTTTTTGGAATGTCAATGGCTTTACCCCGAGCTCATTGTTCAATATTTGTCGAATGGAATATTGCGATATGTTCAGCTCACGAGCCATTTTTCAGCAACTGCGACGCGGTTTTCGATCATGTCGCTTCTTTACGTTTCGAACCATTTCTGCTGATGTTGCTATTTTCCTCCGTCCACTTCCTTGACGTCGGACTACGCAACCAGTATCACGGTAACGAGCGATGTTACGAGACTCAAAAGATTTATTCACATTTCAATGCTGGATTGCTCTAACGATAGCCACTTGTGGCTTTCCCGCCAAATATAAAGAAATCGCACTATCACGCTTGAATTCCATCGCGAATAACTTTTTTTCTGGAAAATTGCCACCAAAATGCTTTTGTACGCTTGTAAACAATATAATGAGCTGTCACTGGCATAATTTTAATAGCTGTCGCACGAGTGGCTTAGAAATGATAGCAGTCTGAATTTGGTTGCATTTTTTTCATCTCGCCCTGTATATACACTCAACATTTTGAGTTTCAATTTACGTGTAGTTTATGATTTTTTTGTAGAAATATTGACCTTTGTCGTAGCAGTATCAGAATTGGACCTATATAACCCATCCTCACACTATATGTATTATGAGCAGTAATGCTACCGGGCAGTAATTTCAAGTTTTATGAGATTTATACCCTCAGCCATATGGTTACAGAGGATATATATCATTTGATACGACCAAAACGAGGAGACGATCTAGGGGTGTACATCCGTCCGTCTGGCTGGTTGCTGCGCAGAATAACTCTCTCTCTCTCTCGTAATATCACAATCAAACTTAAATGGAGTTCGGAGATGGGCAGTATCGGTCTACTCCTTCCTTTTCAAAAAACTATTTTACTGCACAGAAAGAGAAAGGATAATCCAACTTTGCTTCAACTTTACAAATCCTAATATTTGGATCAGTGCTAGGTCAGATGTGAAAATTGTACAATATCGGTCCACTCCATTAAGTACCTCTCCCACAAAGAGCCAAAATTTGATGTAATAGTCCGAATTACACAAATCTCAATATTTTCATTAACCTAAGGTCTGGTGCGAAGATGGAATATATCGATCCACTCCTTCTGGTACCTCTCCCACATAGAGTTCAAGATTTTGATAAACAAAACGACTAAAAAAAAAAAAACGAAATCAGCATCCAACTCTCTTCAAATTTCACACAACCAAATATTTTTGCTAACTCAAGATGTGAAGATGCTATATATCTCCGAACCCCTTCTGTTACTTCACCCATAAAGGGTCACAATTTTCAATACTTATATCTGTCATAACTTGCGAAACAAGTCAACGATACTTTACATCTGGCTATATCTAAATATTTCCAGACCAACCAGAAAGAAACCTGAGATGAATGTGAAATTTATGATTTCGCATAAAATTGGATATAAATGTTCGATTTTCTGTTAATTTTGGCCATACCAATATTTTTATCTGTATTAGATGAAGTATGAAATTGGAATACTTCGGTCGACTATATGTGGTACCTCATGCATATTTCAATATTTTATAAAAAATAGCACACATCTCATATAAAGTGAAGGAAGTAACCAATATGGTTCAAACCTGGCACATCGCAATATTGATACCATATTTATTTAGGTCCGATACGAAATGGACAATGTTGGTCCATTCTTTTGGTAACTACTCCATAGAGGGTCAGCAATTAAAATAATCATAACAGAAGTCAAAATATATTTAAGTAATCGAACATTGTCTGTGAGTATACATCTGTCGGCAAAACCGACAGATACTTCCAATATTATTCGGAACACTCATTGGAGAAAGAGGAGCAAAATAGGAAAATGTAGCCATTTTTCTTAATTGTTGTAGGAAATTGCAAATCCGGTTCTGCAGCCCTATAGCCCTTCCTCACTTCTTCCCATTTTGTTTTATGTACAATTTTTATTAACATCATCATTATTTTTCCACAAAGATAAAAATATCACAAATTACTTGATGTAATGGTATTTTTCGGCAGTCTGCTTCTTATCAGATACTCCATTAACCAAAATATTAACATCAGGAAGCTCAATGCATTTATACAATGAATGGTGACAGCATAGCCAAAGCTATCAGTAATCATACCTGAAATAGAAAGCCAAAAATTATTTCAAACCCAAAACCCATTACATTTCCAAACTCACCCAACAATGGACCCAATGTAAACGAGGTTATCGAACTGAAAATCAATTGCAATCCCGATGCTGCTGGCAGTCTCTTCAGGGGCACATAACTTGGTATGATCAGGGGTGAAAATATAATGCGGAAACCCTTTCCGAAGCCCACCAAAATAAACACTGCCAGAATCACATTGTACGAACTAGTTATGGTCACAATCCAACGTCCAATCGAAACGATAATTATGCCAATGGCAAATAGAACACTGTTCGACAGTTTAACTTTCTCCAAGACAAATGGTGATAGAAAGCGAACACCAATGTCCATGCCAGCCAGACAAGACATTGCCATGGATATCTGCTTGTCCGTATAACCGAAACTATTCAGAATGAATGGTGTGAGAACTGAGAAATTAATTTCGCCAAACATCATTATGGCCATTCCCAAGGCTAGGTTGACAAAAGTGAAATCTTTTAGGAGATCCAAATCGAAGAATGCTATAATTTTCTGCATAAAGGAGGAGCGTTTTTGTTGGATTGGAATTTCCTCCACTTCCTCTATTTCTGAGTTAGACTTGGGGAGATTTCCTGGGCTCTTTTCTAGGAGAAGTTTTTCCTCCGTGCAGGTGCAGTGGGGATGAATATCGTTCCCAGATTTAGAATAAATATCACTTTTGCCTTTTGCATTGTTAAAAGCTTCCTCCCTTCTTTTCAGCAATTCATGACCCTCCTTTCCATTGTCTGGATTTTTATAGTTATTTGAAGGTCTCCCCTCATTTTCATCTGAAATTTCTAAGGTTTTATCTTCTTCTTGATTTCGACAATATAAACATTTAAAGTTCTCATTCTCTCCCTGTGTTTCTTGAGGAGCTACCATCGGAACGTCCTTCGTCTTTGGAGAATGCCACAAAACTGGCTGCAGAGTAAGGGAACACATAAAGGCATGAAGCATTATGGCAGAATAAATTGAAATTGTACCCTGAACTCCGTAGAGGGAAAATAAAAGTATGGTCAGTTGAGGAAATACCACCGAACCCAATCCCGTGATTGTCCACGAGAATCCGGTTGAGGGCCAGTGAATTGGCTTGTCGGCATAAGCCTAAGCCAATACCTACAGATAGAAAGAGAGAGGGATAAAAAATCGAAAAATAATTATGTTCGGATTTCTTCTCCTTACCATAGATGGCTGCAAAACTTAGTATATATTGCAAAAAGTTCTCACAAAATGTCGTACAAAATATTCCAACGAATGCCAAGAGGCTACCTATCAGCCCCACCTGACGAAAGGTAAATCTCCGAAACATAGCCCCATTGACAAGACCCACCAATGAAGATATTGCCAATTCGGTATTGACAATTGTGGAAATTTCCTTGGCATCGAAGCCGGATGTTTCCATACGCTGTCTGTAGATGAGGCCATATTGATGTTGGGGAGGGAAAAGGGAAAGCTATTGAAAAATAAATTCAAATAATAATTTTTAGATTTTTTATTTAAATTTAATTTTTTTTGGAAATGTTTGCATACATACTTACATTACTTAGACCGGCTGCTATACAGACGATCCAGCCCCAACCTCCATCGGGTGCCACAAAATTTGGACCCAAATCACTTTTGTCGCGATGTTTTTTCCTCTTCTGGGGTATTGTTGTTTCTTTGTAGATGCTTGTGTTAATGGGTTTATTTAATTTAGACTTATCTGCAGGCATGATGACAGGCATGAAGTCTGCAAGAAATACAGGGAAGAACATGAAATATTTTTTTTCAACATATTGGTTTTATGTCGGAATATGATGCACAGCCATTCACATTTTCCTTATCAAAAATCTAGGGAATAGAATCAACCAGCGAACTGATATTGACCATCTTCGAACTTGATCTAAACTTGGTAAACATATAACGTGTATTAAGTTTAGACCAATTCGGACACTATCTCCGAGAGATATCGTGTACTTAGATGGTCGAACATGGCTAGATCGACTTCAAATATCGTGAAATGGATTTCCTCCAATGGGAAAAAATCTCATTACCAAAAATGGGTATAATAAGTATACTTTGACACCGATAACTATTTACAAAAAAGTATTCTAACCCCTTATTTTAACATACCCCTATCATAGCAGTAAGTACTTATCAAACTTCCACCATGACTCAAGCAATGGGCTGATTTTGCCTAGTCCTGCACCTCACCTATATGCGACACAACTATTTCGATGTGCAGAGTTCCGCTCAAATCTCCTTTATTTGACATGATTTTTATACCACAGCAGGATGGCTAGAGAGGTATGCGTTGCTAGGGAAAATAGGGTTATCTGTCAGTACCTACGATAACACTCGAAAGGAGTGTCCAATTTATGGCACATTTTATTTATACCCTCACCCATATGGTTCCAGAGGGTTTAAATCATTTGATACGGTCCAAAACGTGCCTCATCGAAGTAACGGTTTAAGATTCTAGGTATCTTTGGACCAAATCCGTTTAAGGACATTCGGAGACGATCTAGCGATGTCCGTCTGGCTGGCTGACTTGTGCTCAAAATAATTCTGGAAGGGTCCAAACTTGGTACATCTCAATATTATTATCAAATTTAGATCGAGTTCGGAGATGGGCAATATCGGTCCACTCCTTCTGATACATCTCCCACAAAGCATCAAAATTGTCAACATCAATGAAGCTCATAAAACGCCAAATTAACACCCGATTCCATTCAGACTCGGTACATCTGAATATTTCTATCAACGCCAGATCTGTTATGAAGATGATAGAGATCGGATCATTCCTTCTGGTAACTCTCCCACAAAGGGTCAATGTTTTGAATAACCAAAATAATTATAAAATCCGATATATGTATCCGGATCTCCTCATATTTCACACATCCCATTATTTTTACTGATACAAGATTTGCTGTGAAGATGGGGTATATTGGTCCACTTCTTATGGTACGTCTTCTTCTTTTGAAGATGATAAATATCTGGGAACCCCTTCATGTACCTGATTTACAAAGGGTCACAATTTTCAATACTTTTATCTGTTATAACTTTCAAACAGGACAGCGATCCTTTACCACTTGCACATCTAAATATTTCTTTTAACCAGAAACCTGAGAACTAAAGGGTGAGATAAAAAAACTGCCTCAAAGTCAAAGGTCATTATTTTTAAATTTTTTTTTTTTCAATTTTATTGAATGAAAGTAAAAAATGTCGGAAGTAGCATCAAATTTTAGAATAAGTTTAGATTTGTTCGAATTGGTCACCTTTGGCACGAATTATGACCTTCAAAAGGCCCATGAAACCATCACACGCTGCCTAAATGTTGTTCTGCGGTATTTTGGTCCATTCCCGACGAAGTGCTTGCTTGAGGTGATCGACACTTTGGTATTTTTTAGTGCCAACCTTGCTTTCCAAAATACTCCAGACACAATAGGCCAACGGATTGGTATCCAGAGATTTTGGTGGCCATTGTGCGCTGGAAATGAAGCGAGGAACCTTAGTAACCTCTGAGTGCGATGGTGCTGAGTGGAAAGTCCAAGGTCTGCGGCCAAAATTTTTGCGTGCCCAAGGCTTTAATACACCCTTCAGAATATTTTCGCGATAATATTCGGCATTTATTCTGATGTCACGGTCGATTAATACGAGCGGAGAGCGACTACCGGCTGTTATGGCGGCCCACACCATCACCATGGCCGAGGCTTGAGTTCTGGTGGCTAACCGAAGGTGCACATTTTCAGACCTCTGACCTCTTTGGCAAGTAAACACGATCATTTTGTTTGTTTACAAACTGCCGGACAACGAATGTTTGCTCATCGGAGAAAACCAAATTCGGCAGTTCACCACTTTCGGCCAAGCGAAGCAACTCTTTAGCTCTTTTGAGACTTTTTTCTTTCCGTTGCGGTGTAAGTTCTTGCACTTTTTGGATTTTCAATGGCTTTACCCCGAGCTCATCTTTAAATTTTTACCGAATGGAATATTGCGATATGTTCAACTCACGAGCTATTTTTCTGCCCCTGCGACGCGGGTTTCGATGAAGTATTTTTCTTCGATCGATCTTCTTTACTTTTCAAACCATTTCTGCTGATGTTGCTGTTTTCTTTAGTCCACTTCCTTGACGTCGGGCTATGCTACCAGTAACACGGTAACGAGCGATGGTACGAGACACAAAAATTTATTCACATTTAAATGCTGGAGTGTTCTAACGATAGCCACTTGTGGTTTTCAAGCCAACTATTAAGAAATCACACTATCACGCTTGAATTCCATCACGAATAACTTTTTTTGGAAAATTCTCATCAAAATGCTTTTGTACGCTTGTAAACAATATAATGAGCTGTCACTGGAATAATTTTAACAGCTGTCGGACAAGTGGTTTAGAAATGACAGCAGTCTGAAATTGGTTGCAGTTTTTTCATCTAACCCTGTATGGTCTAAACGTGTCCGTAATTATAGTTATATCAAGGAAGGAATATGGTAAATTATTGGCACACAGCTTCTTGAACCTCATCCAAAAAGTGGGTCAATTTAGCTATTATTCTCCGTCTAAATATGATGATATATTACGATATGGCTAGATTTTATCAAATTTGATGCTCTCTTTTAGAGTTATCGTACGAAGCGGCAAGGTAGACGGACGTATATTGCAAAATCTATTCTAAAAATGGATTTCGTTCAAACATGCAGGGCCTCTAACAAAATTATTTCTTCGAAGCACTTTGGGGGATACATGAAATTATATATTCTATTGTAGATGGTATTAAATTGATATCTGTGCCGTCATTCAAAATGTAAAAGCATAGGGTTGATATATCATTTTTAACTCTAGTCCGAATATTTTATTATTTTAACACATTTATGTAGGGAATAAAGTTTTCAGTTCTGAAATAAACTTTCAAACATAAAAAAATAATTGCTTTTCGTATTTAAAAAAAATTGCATTTTTATTCAGATCATGAGTGTACTGCGTGTCCAGCCACAAATGACAGTTGCTGATGGTCAAATACTCGTAACTCGAACAAAACTAAATCACTTTGTAAATAAAATGTTAGAACTAACGTTGTGTGTTATAATTATGTGGGTGTGTGTGAGTCTGTTGGACACAATTAATAATCAATTAAATAATTTATTATAATTATCTTTGTTTACAAACTCAAAAAGATACTTTCAAAACATTTTAATCAACCAAAAACCAAAAATCAAAACAAAATCAATTTACGCGGAAATAACAAGAAGAAGGTGCCTCACTTTAAATTCGATGACGTCGAATTAATGTAAAACAGAACTTTTAAATATTTTTTAGAATACGTTTGTTATTGTAATTACTTTTCACATGTCTAATGTTTTCGTTCTCATTCACAAACTACGAATAGATTTTTATTTACTCCGCGTGCGGCGTGTGCTGTAGAATACTCTCTGAGCAAAAACAATAACTGAACTGTTGATGCCGGTTTGTTTGGTTTGGTTAAGAAACGAATTCATAACAAATATCGCAAAACAATAGAAAGTTAGTTAGTGATTGGAAATCTCTCTCCAGTACTCTCTCTCTCTCTCCCTATCATATTCTCTTTATGTGGTTTGATTGGGAGATTTACAAGAGAACGTGCGTTAGTGGTATCAGTTGTGTGTAAAATAATAGCATTTCAATGATTGGAAAATCGTGTTTCTAGTGTAATAAAATTAAGATTGAAGCATTGAATTAAATCCCGATTAAATCATGGAAACTCAATAACCGACCTATGCAAGAAACCCATTTAAAAAAAATAAAAAACATTAAGTTCGACCAGGTCGAACTTTTAATATCCTCCACCATTGGGTAAAAAAAAACACTTTTACATAAAATTATCTGAATTTAAACGTGTTCCTCTTTAAACTACAAATACTAGTAAGACCGTTTGGATAATGCTAAAAAAAAAAAAAAAAAAAAAAAAACAGTAAAGAAAGTCCTAAATTCGGGCCGGGCCGATTTTATGAAACCCTACACCACTTTGCTAATTTAGTAGAGCTTCGCAAAACAATTTAAAGTTTTTATGGGAGAATTCAATCATACACGCTATGATTATAATTATAATATAAAGCTCAACGGACTAAATATGCCA